CTATAAGGTTGCTATAGTGATAGTGTTATCATCGTTTATTTGTCTTGTGTAATGGCGACATTGCAAGCATGAGGTCTATCATAACTGTGGTCACTTTTGGTTTACTAGAACATATGCTGATAATGACTTTATGTTGTTTCTAGCATAATTGTGACTACGATCCTATGTTGTTTTCTGTTACAGTATCCTGAGTCTGTCTTAGTCAACGTGGAGCTAGTCCAGGAGTCCTAAGAATAGAAACCTTGATTTAAGTATCAATTTGATATACTGTTATGTCTGCACTTTTGATGCAGGCAGGAGTTTTCAGCATGCAAAATCTGTATGAAACAGTTAAGCAAGCTCAAAATGTAGTACAAGTTGAAGCAGTGCGTGTGCAGAAAGAGCTTGCTGCGTATGTTCTTAAAGCTTTATCCAATTTCGTCTGATACCGATAATCCTTTCAGTGGTATAATTATTTATCTCGTCATTCTTTCTTTTTTTTTTTTTTTCCCCTTCTTCAGGGCAGTGTTTGATGGTTACTGTGAAGGTGAGATTATAAAGGTACGAATGATTCACTCTTGCGACAAGGTCAACTTTGGATATTTGTTCAGTTTGGGAATATAAGCTGGTTCTCTTGTGTCTGAATGGTATTTTAACTTTCACTTTCATAGTATCAAGATAATGTGAAGAACACGGTCAAAGTGTCAAAACTTTTGCTGACCTACACAGATAACTTTGAGTTTTTCCAATCAGTGCATTTTAGTTTTATGAGCTCAGCTGTTAGTTACATGGAACCTTCGTCTTCGTCTTCTCTTCACTTTCATATATATACTCTTGTCTCTGTTGCTCTCAGATTTGACAATCCTCCGATCTCTGATTTTCCCCTAGGTAACGCTTTCTGGTAACCAGCAACCTGTACGCACTGAGATAACTGAGGCTGCTATGGAACTAGGAGCAGAAGTAAGTCGTGAAAACCATTTTTCCCTTTCCCGTTTGCCAGAATGAGTTTCTCCTTAGGATAGATGTGATTTCTTTTCCTTTTTTTTTTTTTTTTTTTTCACAATGCAGAAAGTCTCTGAATTGGTGACGGAAGCATACAAAGATGCGCATCATAAGAGTGTCATGGTGAGAACACAAGTGTTTCTATGTTTTTACAGACTGATTGATAATTGTCGGCTACTTTAACTGATGGTATTTGTGTGTACTTTCAATTTCAATCTTCAGGCCATGAAGGATAGAGTGAGCAACCTTGCCCAGAGTATAGGAATGCCAAAAGCTCTCGGTGAATTGAAATGATTTGCCGGTGCATCTCTATGACATTTAACTGTCCTGTTTCGTCGTAATGTTGAACTTTTTTCTTCGTACCTCTTAGTTTCAAGGAAAAATCGTTGATTCAAAATTTTCAATGAGGTCAAGTTTCAGTTTCTAAGATTCAAAATTGTAAAAGAAGATTCAAAATTTTCAATGAATTCAACTTTCAGTTTCAAGTTTTTGTTTCCGTCGCTTGAACTCCTTGGGGGGGGTTTTGATAAAAATTGTTGAGGTTGAGGCTTATATGTATAAAATATAGAATTACATAATATCTCAGACCCCTCTCTGAAAAAAAAAAATAAAGAATTAAACAAATAATTTACCCCCCACACTCTTTCCTCTAAAACCACACAGCAAAAACTCCCAATGCCACCAGAGTCAGAACACCACCCTGCAAGCTTGTAGCACCGCTGGTAGGAGCAACAGCGGGACCGTCAACCTCCCCAGCCGGAGAAGGAGCTGGAGAGATACCGAGGTGCTTCCTTGGGGTCATAACAACCACGACCAGCTTCTGCCCCTTCTCGCAGTGTCCCTTGGTTCCGCTGATGAAGTAGTAAGGCCCCGGCTGGTCGAGGTGGAGCTTGGTCTCGTCGTCCTTGTACTGCTCAATAGGGTTCGATGCATTGCAGTTTGTGTAGTCTTCTTTCGTCACTCGCAACACTGAGTCTTTGGCGCTGTCATACTTCCACACTGAAAACAAATTTACAGAAAAAAAAAAATTAGCAATGTGCAAAGGAAAACTTAAAAAATGGAAAATCCCAGATGGGAATTGGACTGGGGATTTTACCAAGAGTGTCACCAACGCGAAAGCGGGTGCTTTCAGCCCATTTGTTGAGGGGACTGCCCATGAGCCATTCTTGCCGCCGACGGTGAACTCTCTGGCTTCGGAGAAGCTGAAGAGGAGAAAGACCACGAGAAGAGAGGAGTATGACAGAGCTTTCGAGGATGAAAAGCCAGCCATTAGAGAGTGTCTGCAAGTTTGTTGTCGGATTTTGAAGAATTTGAGAGTGTGAGATGGAGAGAGAGAATTTGAGTCGTGGCTATGGGGTCTCAGCTGTGATGTATATATAGTCTGGGGAGAAAAAGTAGCCGTTGTGCGGTTAGGGAAAACGTTAAAGCAACGGTATAGAAAACGTTTAGGGCGGAGCAGAAAACGTTTCTTGCAACGGTCACAAAAGCATGGAAAGACTACAACACCTGTGAGTGCACACTAGCTGGATTCGAAACGCTTCAAAACGTCGTCGTTTAAGGAGGTGGGGTACGGTACTACTTTGTGGAGCTAATCTAATTCAATTACTTCCTTCGTGCAAAAAAATATTCAATTACTTGCAGACTTGTACTTGTACTTCGGTGAATGCAATATTTGCTCGATTTTATTAATTTTCTTAAGGAAAGTTATTATTTTTTGCATGTCGGGACGCTTGTGAGTTAATCATAAATTTCTATACATGAAATTTGAAAACTACGATGATAAATAATCATCTGAAAATACTATTCAATGATATTTTCGTTATAATTATATTCTAATTTGGTTCACATGCAAGCAATATATAACGAGTCACATTCAAGCCATATCAAGTGATTTGATGAATTTGTAGAAAAATCAATGAATAGGGATTAAATGTTATCAGCACAAAAAATTAGGGTTTAGGTTCGCAATAGGGATTTCATCAAGGTTTAGAGTCATACCAAAGTTTGGAGACAAGGGGGTTTTTTTTTTTTTTTTTCACATGAACTAGTTTCATGATTAGTTAGGTTTTAATTTTTATATTTTTTTCACATTGCAACCTGTAGTTTTGAAATCGTACATACCCAAAACCTTACGCAAACCGGCCACGTGTCGAGCGACAGAGACCTGCACTTAGAGAAAATTTTCAATGTGACAGGAACACGAAGTGATACATCACGTGTCATTATATAAATGGTGGGATATGTGTGTTAAAAAGTTAATAACTTAAAAAATAGAATTTCCTACCACTTGTATAAAAATACGTGGTGTACCATTCGTGTTCCGATCACTAGGAAAAAAAATTCCTGCACTTGGTGCCATGCAACTTAAAACGTGTCGACAAAGCCTTTCCTATGCAATATTGCATGCAGAAACAAAGGATAGGTTTCACCGTCCCAGCCCCCAAACAGAAATATAAGATATACAGAAAGAGAGGGAGACTGGAACAAGAATTGGAGATTGGAGAGAAAAGAAATGGCAGACGCACCAAAGGGGTCACCTCCTCCCGAGGCTGCGAGGAGGGGCTTTTTGCTTGGCATGAGCACCACCACCATGGCCGCCGTCACTGCCGCTGTTATCGCCGGTGTCCTTGGCTACTATGCCCTTTATGTGAAGACAAAGCCCGAGGTCTATCCTCGAAGGGTTGCAGACCCTCCACCCGCAGCTAGGGTTGACCCTGACGTCACTCGTCCCAGGAAATATCCTGATCGTCGACCTTCGTCCTAAAGATTACATAGTAACTGCATGTGTGTTGCTCAAGCGATTGTGCCATAGTTTGTACTCGTTTATTTGTATATGGTTTGTAGAGAGATCTTTCTTCATGGCTTATATATATATATATAGCTCCCGCTCCCCAGACACCTTTTTTTGAATCACAAAGAGGTCCCTCTCATTCTCAATGCAGAAGATTTGATCTTTGTATCACTTAGATCCCTATTATCGCATAAACGTTAACAAATTCAATTACCCAAAAGAATATGACCTGGTCAGCTTGTACTGGTTAAATTTTTTAGCAAAATAGGATGCATTTTGGAAACCCTTTAACTGATCAAGGGAGGGAATCTTGGGGAGGGATTATTTTAAGCTTAAGATGTAGGTTACGTCAGTCGCCAAAAGACAATTAATACATCCAATTTTTTGCACCTAAATTTTGAAAAAAGAAATACGACCATCTGTTTAGATTATATATTGAGTTTGTCTAAATTATATGTTATAGATTACATAATAAGGCGATTTATTAGTTAAAATTGCTCATTAAAAACCGCGTGGTAACTTGAGTGCATTTTGGAAAGATATATGAGAATGTTAATTGTATTCTATTTTCTTTAAGATGCGGAAATTCGAACATGAAACTTCTTTATGTCGAATCTAATTTAACAAATTAGTCGATGAAATTCGACTTTAAGACCTCTTTAGCCTAATTCAATTTGACAATTGATGAAGTTCGAATGTGAGAACTCTTTCAGCTTACCTCTAACAATTTCTATGGAGAACTCTTGAAAAATAAACAAATAGGAATAATCTCTTGGAAAGAATTCGGGTTCAAATTGACCCAACGGGTTTCTGAAAATTTTGAAAACATTTCAAAACCTAATTTTATTTTCACTCAAGAAATAGCACTAAAGCTGAAATATAATACTAATAAATAAATAAAATAATGATTTTAGTTGTGTCCAAGCAACGAGAGTGTAACCGGCATACGAAGTAGTACATCACGTATCATTATATAAATGGTGTTATGTATGTTAAAAATTTAATAAATTAAAAAATAAAATTTCCACCATTTACTTTAAAACACGTGATGTACCACTCGTGTTCCCGTCACAACAAAAAATTTTCCCCAAGCAACATGCACTAGTTGAGTTGTCGTAATAGCTAGGGTTACACGAACGCACTACGTGTCAAGTGACGGAGCATGCACCCTAAACGTGTCAACAAGTCCAGTTCCTCTTCTTCAAATGTCTGGAGTCACGGTTTCAACTGATTTATACAAAATAGCATTAACACAACCAAGGCAGAGAGAGAGATGGCGGGGGATGAAGATTGGAGGAAAACGGCAGAGACGACAAAAATGAGTTCGGAGGAAGTGAAGAGAGCTGGACTGGAGGGAGCACAGAGGCCTCCCGGTCATAACCCCGGCGGTGTTCTTCACCAGCGACGCGGTCTCCCCTTTGGCCCTATCACCATGGCAGTTACCGGCTTCCTCATTGTCGGCGCCATCGGCTACTTCACCCTGTACACCCTCAAAAAGCCCGAAGCCACCGCCGGAGATGTTGTCAAGGTCTCCGCCAATGTTGCCACCCCGGAGGACACTAGCCCAAGGAAGTAGCGCCTCAGGTCCTCCTCAGAACTGTGTATTTTGTATTTTTACCTTCTTCATGCTTTTTGACATTCGAAGATGTGGCGCGCGGTTCTTAATTGTAGCAGTAATTTTAACAAAATGAAATCGCATTTTTGTTTTTGAATAATAGTTGTGTTCATCCGCCCGGTCGGTTCTTAATTGTACCAGTTTAATTAGGATTTTCTACCCTTCAAATTTCCTCCCGTTACTTCTCTTCTCACACTTTTCTGAGCCTCTCTATAAAGAAGTCGCATTTTTCTGTCTTTTAATATAAAGAAGTTAAGACAAAATGTTGACGTAACTTTACCGTAACAGATAACTGAAGAAAATGGAGGAATTTCTATTTATGACAATTTAAGAAAGAAATCCGATCTAATTCGAATGTTGTATGCAACTTGATCTCTGCTCAATTGTGACACCAACAACGTGAGAGTTGCAGCGTCGTTATCACATGTCTGTCGGGGAGAGCCATGATATCCCCATCCAACGACAAACTTTTTGGGTCCATCTTATAAAAGTTAGCCCTCCGTCATAGGACCCTCCGTTTAAGAGTGGCAGAGACGGTGAACTGCCTTTTACTGCCTTCCACAAATACACTGTTAATTATTTGCCCTCTTCAATTCATTCAAACAGACGGCCCAAAATTGACATGCACTGTTAATTATTGTCCTCTTCAATTCATTCAAACAGACGGCGGCGTGCAGAAGGTCAAAAAGGATTTGTGTGGAGTGCACTCCCATCCAACAGACGATTGCAAATGTAAGTAAAACCATGAAAATGGCAGTGTAGAAGTAGTCTTGAAAAATAAACAAATAGAAATATAAGAAAATATGACCTTGTCGGCTTTTTGTCATGGTTCAAAATTGAGCACAAATAGGATACATTTTCGACAGCACAAGAATCCAAAGTTAATTGCAAAATCTTACACTACTTGAAGAGATATTACCATCTGTTTGCATCTTCTGGGGAAGGGGGAGAGGAAGAGGAGATATCACACCTTGCCGAGCCCCAGTTTTGAGTTTATTTGTCTAGTCGATCTTCACCGATGAGTAGATGAGCCTCGTGAACCAAAAGCAGGCGTAGAAGCCAATGGTTCCAGTGACAACAAAGAATGCATAAGATGCAATGAGCATGTATCCAAAGTATAAGAGGGCCGACACCAGCTTTGAGATTTCGAGCTTTGTGAAGAAGTAGAATGTGGCGTAGAGGAAGAGGTACAGAGCCGATGAGCCCGATGTGAGGTATGATCTCCACCACCACAAGTAATCTTCGCTGCACAACTGGAAGTAGCAGAGGACGATGGTGATCTCAGCGCATGTGATGATGAGGATGATGAAGACCAAGAAGAGGAAACCGAAGATGTAGTAGAACTGGTTCAGCCAGATCGAAGTCAGGATGAAGAATAGTTCGATGAAAACTGCTCCGAATGGGAGGATCCCTCCAATTAGAATCGAGAAAATTGGGTTCATGTACCAGGCTTGTTCTGGGATCTGTCTTGGGATTTTGTTTGTCTTCACTGGATCCTCAAGTGCTGGCTTCCTGAATCCAACATAGCCTCCCACAAATACGAGTGGGACTGAGATTCCGAACCATAAAAAGACCAGGGCAAACATTGTGCCGAATGGCACAGCTCCAGATGATTTCTGGCCCCAAATTAGAGTGTTCAAGACAATGAAAATGGCAGAGACGGTTGCTGGGAACATGACTGCAGTCCTGAAAGCAATTTTCTTCCATTCTGTACCTTTAAACATCTTGTATAAGCGAGCAGAGGCATAACCGGCGAAAATTCCCATGAAGACAAAAAGCAAGAGCATTGCAGTCATAAGACCACCCCGGTTCGATGGGGAGAGGAAACCAAGGACAGCAAAGATCATTGTCACCAGTATCATTCCAAAGAACTGAACACCAGTTCCAACATATACACACAGCAATTCAGAGTTATTTGGAGCCCTGAAAACATCCCCGTGGACAAGTTTCCATCCTGTCTCTTCTTGCGCTTCTTCCTGGGTCTCAAGTTCATTATACTTGGAGATATCACGGTAGAGTGTTCTTAGCATAATCATCGCTACCATACCCGAAAGGAAGAGGACAATCATCAATGAGTTGACAATTGAAAACCAATGGATTTGGTCGTCACTCATCAGTAGATAAGCATCCCATCTGGAAGCCCACTTCACATCACTCTCCTAAACAAGTAAACATGAAAAGAAGCATCCCATGAGATGACTAGTTCCTCAGAAATGACAAAGTATGTTCAACACCATTTACATCAGAAATATTAGTTCAATGGACTTCCGATATTAGTTCATGACACAAATATGATGTTATAATAAGTAGACAGTAGACAGTAAATTATGAGTTATAATTCTCCAATGTACAAATACTGAGTAAAACTTTAAATTACAAAGCTCACCTGGAATTCAACATCATAGGTAAAAATGATTTCTTGCTTCTCGGCAACCTCTTGAGGAGAGTTAGAATTAACAACAGTGTGTTTCGAATGGGGGTCACAGGTAGTTAAACGAGTCTGTGCATCATTCCATTTCCCTTCGTATTCATGTTTAACACTGGACATTCAACAGTCAAACAAACCATATTACCAACTGACACTTTAGAAAGAAGATTCAGCAAGGACTCGTTCAGGAGAAAAGGAATGCCTGAAAAAACTGACCTGAACGGTTTAACCTCAAATCCCACAATTCTTGCTGTTTCAGTTTGCGAATCTCTATGGTATTTCACAGTAAATGCCAGATGGTTGTGGATGAAGTACTTCTCTTCTTTGCTCTGAGCACAATCACATAGTGTAAGAAAGAGAAAAACATAATCCCCCGAACAAGAAAGTTATTTGGTGCCAACAACCATGGACATACCCCAGCATAATGGCCTTTGAGCCCAACATGGAATCCAAGCTGATAAACAGTAGGAGCTTCTTGATCTCGCCTTTGAATGGGAACGACTAGAGGTAGATTATCAAGGATCCTGTCATAAAGAAAAAAGTTTTAATAAGAGATGCGACTTCATTGCAGTTCCTCTTATCTAATCTAATAGAATAAATCATTTAAAGGGTCAGAAAAATACATGTTCACTCGATACTCGTCATCTATCTTCTCCTTAAACCGCTTCACAATTTTGGCATCAGGTGTCAACCGGCAAAGAATGTTGCACATCTGAGCCTCCCGCATTTTAAACTGCAAAAATCTCATTGTAAGTTAATGAACATAGGAGACAAGTAAGCCTTAGATTTATACGAGTGCAATAACACTAACCACATAGGGGGAGTTCTCAATTCGGTCACCACGAAGCACTTCCCCAAGATTCTCTGCACTGTCCACAATCTTCTCAGGTTTACAGTAAGGGAGAGAGTAAAATGAGTAAGGAAGCTGAGTCTTTGTGGATGTCAATTTATTCACTTTAACTTTCAAAACATCTCCCTGCATTCAAAGATCCAAGAGAACGAAATTAACACAAACATCCCCCGAGGCAAAGTAATTTGCTTGTCAGCCAAGTGATGTAAAACAAACTCGAAATTTCGAATCTAAATTATGAAATATTCAAACCATAAACAGCATTTGTAATCCAGTGAGACCTATACGACGGTCTTCTTAGAGTACTTGCTTAGGGCACATACAGATCGATATCGGACCAACCGAGATCTGATGTGCCGCGAATTACTATATTACATTACTCTAAGCATTAAAAGTATTAATAAAACACAGCCTAAGCAAATCGAAGAAATATGCAGAGCAAAAGAACACATACCAAAACCTACAAATCTCAGGATTTGAACTATGCTAAAGGTCAACTAAACTTAATTCGACCATCATTTCAATAGCAAACCAATCGAATTCACGATAACCTATTCTCCAATCCTTCAATTTTCCTCCATTTTCTGAGCAACCAAACAGACGAAACCTAACACTAGGTCGCAGATCTGAATAGTGAACACACAGATCACTCATTTCATACACAAAGACATCCAATTTGTACAACAACAAAAAAAATCGAATTAAATTAAATTAAATTAAGGGTTGGGTTTGTCGGCGATTGAGAGCTGACCTTGATGAAGTCCTCCGGAGCGACGCCGGGGAGGTAGAAGGAGTGGGCGCCATGGACGAGAAGTAGGAAGATCGCAGAGATCGCCAGGACTGCCGGGGATCTACGAGACGCCATGGCCTCCGACTGAGGGAGAGAGAGAGCAGAGGAGGGGGTGTGCAGATCTGGAGGACGAGGAGTCCGTTTCTTGGTTGCTGTTTAATAGTTGGATTCGTATTTGTCTGTTGCGTAGAAATAATTATAACTAAAAAAATAGCAAAATTAGAGTCGAAGGAAAATAAAATATTATAAAGGGGACAGAGAAGGAAACTGGAAGGAGGGGTGGACTCGCTGTTTTATCTCCGGTGAGATCTGGTGCGGTGTGATGCTTCTGAGTCGTGTGTCTTGATTGCGCCACGTCAGTCCCTTGTATATAAAGGAAAGATCAAGTCATGAATCATGATGGTGAATAAGATTCTCTTCTTTAACTCAGTATGTACTTGTTTAAAGTAGCAAAATATCCTTCTTCTTTTTTTTGGCAAACAAGTAGTAAAATATCATTTGTAATAAAATTCATATATCTTTATTATTAATTAATGAAATTTTCTTTATCAACTAAAAGATAGTAGAAAGATAGTTAGTCCTCTATCACATAAAAAAAAATGATAGGCAATAATGTAATGTCATAGGTCCAAATTTTACTATTTTTTATTAAAACATCACCTACCAGTGATGTTAAAATACATTCAATATTAAAAAAAAAAACAACAAAAAAAAAACCAAAAACAAAAACCTCTCACTCCCCCAACGTTCTCTCTCTTTCTCCTTCTCATTTTCTAAAAAAATATGTTCATACACATAAAATGTGTAGGCAAATGCTAGTGTACATATAAAAAATTAACAATTTTAATAACTGATAATATCATTGTGACAAATTATTTATTATTTTATACGTATAAATGGTTAAACAACCTTTATATATTACGATTAATAAAATAAATATACCAATATGTGCAAATATTGGCCCTTGAATATTATTAAATTTCATCTTAACTAGATCCTTTACCTTTATGAATTTGCCAATTTGCTATGGAACCCTTTCACCAGCTTTCCCTTCCTTTCCTTTTACGTCAACACAACGACATGTCGTTTTGCAATTTTTATGTCAACTTATATATGATGTAACGTGAAGCCATTGCGTTATACCACTTTAGCAGTTTAGTGCCTGAAATTATGGGTTGAATCTGGAAATAGCAAAAAGATGAGTAGGACAGATCAATGAATCCAAGATTTAGCATCATCTGCAGATTCTGCACTAATTGTTTATTCTTCTTTTAATTTTTCTTTAATTTATTCAATTCAATGGTTAAAAATAAATTTATTATCTCTATTAATTAATAAAATATTTATTGTCAATCAAAATCCTATAAAATTACTAGTTTAATCCTCTAATTAAAACAGAACATGAATAAGAAATATGGGTCAGAAATTTAATTTCACAAACCAAATTTTGCTGTTTTTTTTTTTTTCAAAGCCTTACAAATATGTAATCCTAACATATCTATAATTAAAATAAAATAAAAATAAAAAAATTTTCACTCCCACATTCTCTATCCCTCTCTTCCTCTCTTCTTCTATTTCAAAAGCAAAAATAAAAAATTTTCTCACACTTTGTGTGTCCCCCATATGCTAGTGTTATATAATACCGTGTTACGCACTGTCAAACCATTAAAGACCTAACTCGAGAAGGCTTGACAAAAACCCTTAAGTACTTCCTGCAAAATCTTATCATGTTATGGTCCTCATTTGGTGGCTTGGCATGGACTAAAGAAACTTCAAATTATTTTAGAGAAAAACTAATGAAAGGGAGTTGAAAATTTTGAGTTTTAACGATAAAGACAAAATAAAGGATAAAGTAAATAGTATCAAGTTTGACTTTTTAATGTAAAAATGTGATTTTTCGTTAAAATGAACAGTATGTTGGGGCCAATATTTTTCAGTGTATTGTGTTTTGCAAGTCTAGTCTATAGTTTCATGACTCAATAGGATTGGTTTGGACTCAAGTTTATCCCCTTTTTTCCACCAAAGGAGCCGATTTTTCCATGACTTGAGAAACAAGCATACATAAATTATAAGCATTATCTGGAGTGATTGGATGCGAAATATATATAGGTGAATTATTAAGTCCACGGATAAAAAATCAATCTCAACCGTGGAGAGGCGGTGGAAACTGCCACCTCTGTGCAATTCTATGGAAGGATGAGTTGTGTAATAGAGATCGAAAAGAAGCCAATAGTGCCAACACTGTTTAATTCGTGAGGACAGATTTGTGTCGGTGATTTGTCGGAAGTTTGGTTTTGCTGCCAACCTATGAACTGGAGATGGGCCTTTAGTCGGTGCATAAGTTTTCATGGCCTTTTGGTATAGAGGCGGGCTAACAGCCCAAAACACAAAAAAACCCAACAAATGGAAAGATTTAAAGTCAAAGATCACAGGTGCCCAATGTACATCGATCCCGTTCTTTAACTAGAGAACACGGTCTGATACATCAAGTTAAAAAAAATAATCGAATAGAAATTTATTTTTTAAGTTTCCAACGTATTCTTTTATTACACTTAGTGTGTTGACTAATATTTCCAGCACATTGAAAAATCTCTCCTTGAACGACAATTAGGCAGAGTGTATTCAAAATTTGCCAGCATATTATTGCATACTTATTAGCATTGGACTTGATTAAGTTTTTCATTATCTTAATGTTAAGCTCATGCAGCTGCTGCATGCATTTTCTTCCGTCCGGTACATCCACTTCTACTCTCGTAATTTTGCTCTCTCCAACATTATTGATATGATCATAATTGGTTTTCAAGGAATTTCCTTTTTAATTATCTCTGTATGATCGTTTTTTTGGCCGCGGTTTTGGGCAAAGAAAATGCTCAAACACTAGAGATAAGGCATCGTTGCTTTGTTTTAGGGCGGGGATTGTTTCGGAACCCCGTCATGCTTTTGAGGACTGGAATTCTCCTCTGGTGTTCGTGTTTGTATTGGTCAGGTGTCAGGTCAGGTGCAACAAAGCTAGAGACCAATCTTCCAATCTTCTTGACGGAAACATTGCTCCCAACTTGGTTTACTTCTACCGTGGTCCAACATTAGGCCAGGGCCGTTCCTAAGATTATGGGGCCAATGAAAATATTTAGAGGGCTCTAATTTCCAACAATCATCCAAACATTGTATATTGATTTATGAAAATGATTAATTACTCTGAAAAATCCATTTCTATATCGAGTTAACGATTCTTGAGAATTGTAGAAGAAATAATATATTATGAAGAAATCAAACTAAAACAAAATGTAATCATAATACATTCTTGAGAATTGTATTAATATATATCATTCAAAAAATTACTCTTCTCGCGTTTTTAACTTGATTAGTTAATAATGACTAACCTTCAAGAACTTGAATTAGCTGGAAATAATTGGCAATCTTTCTACCAATCTTGTACAAATTCATTCAGAAGTTAATCTTGTTTATGGTGGAATTCCTTCTCAAATCTTGTCAACCTCAAACTTGTCTAGTAAACTTTTAAATGGAACCATCCCAAAATCGAGTTCAAGGAAGCGTAAAAGATAAATAAATAAAACTTATTCTAAAAATGTATGTTTTAATCCACATCAACACATTTGACAATTTTTGCATGCAAACAACATAAACAAGGTAATGGGAAGTGAATTTTGAGTTTCAAAAAGTAAAGTAACGACTTTTAAATTTGTATGAGCAAAATAAAATCAAAAACCAAACTATGCCGAATGACATAGCTAGAAAGGGTTTATTTGTCGAACAATTCAGACTCTGACGAGATTCCATCTGCTTTTGGTGACGTTCCCAACTAGATTTGTCAAAAAAATGCGTAAGTAGAGATTGCAAATTAGAATTAGAGAAGATATCACAAAATGCATCAATGTTCGGCTTCGGAAAGTCTCCACGCTGCTAATCCAACCAAGACAGCCTCTACCGACGACAACAAAATAGAGGTTGGATTTAGATATCCATGCTTTTGTTTTAGGGTTCGTTTAAAATATCTCAACCCTCTTACATCTCTATTAAACAAAATCATTATATATCAACAATCAGTAAGATTTTTTTAAACGCTGAGTGATGATAAGGAACACGTCATGATCGATTTTTTTTAACTTTGAACATATATTTGAAGTCTTCATCAAGTAAGTCTTGAGAAGTACTGATTTTTTTTTCTTTTTTTTTTTTTTTTTTGGTTTGGAAGGAATGATTCCAACTTTTTTTCTATTTCCCCAAACGAATCGGCAATTTTCTACACTTAATAAAATCGAAAAAAAAAATCAGAATTAATGTTTTTTTTTTAATATTAAGTTTTCAAAAACAAACCAAATTGACTTATAAAATATTTATGTTTTTTTTTTTTTTTTATCGAAGCTTATGCTTAACCAAGTTGCGAGAATAAATCAAAAACGATATTTTATTATTTTTATATTGGACTGCTAGTGGATTTGGATTGTACGTATGTGTCAAAACATTCACATACCTAGCCCTAATAAAGTTTTGGTTACAGTTTCCATAGTCTGTCAAATGGCAATTCGCATCCAACCTCCCGCCGACTTGCTCTCAAAGTTTAGGTTTCCGTTCTTCCAATTTCTAAAAAGCAAAGTAGCGAAATCGTGACTTCTCTGATAACAATGCAACATGACAATCACAGTAGTGGAAGAACTTGCACATTATCGTAAATTTAAAAATTAACTAAATATTTTAAGTAAAAAAATTAAAAGACTTGCATCTTCAACGGCATAGGGAATTGTGATGGCACAAGGTGGTCAAACATAGATGCCAATATAAATTCCCATATATCAAAAAAGAAATTAATATTTTATTTGTGAAGTGGCCATGGTTATCCTGCCCAAGGGCCAAATATTGAAGCTGAATGTTACGTTTTATTCTCAAGATTGAGGTTGGGTTTAGATATCTCAAGCCTCTCATCACATCATATTACATAAAAACAATTGGAGCAAAATATATTTAAAGCCTAGTTTACCATAAAATCCTTTTTAAATCATCACAGAGCTTTTCAGTTCCAGAATTTAAACGATTATTCTCTGCTCAATTATGTTCAATATTATTGGTGAAGATAATAAAAACGAAGTTTTCAAGTGTGCACTGTGCACGTTGCATCAACTTTAAGCATATAGCTAGACCCTTCATCAATTAGAGCAACGGTCGAATAATACGAACTGAATGCATCATTCATATCCATCACTTTATAGCT